ACATGCTGCCTTACTGCCAGCCAGCTTGGCTGGAGATGCCCTGTTAGTTTTGTTGTGGTTTTGTTGTGCTACATGAGGAGACACAGCAGAGGCTGTCAGCACGTGGGCTGAGGGTTAAAGGGCAGCAGCAGCAGCACCAAACACAAGCAAGCAGCTGCCACAAGACCCCAGCTTTCCTCAGGGTGGCTGGAGGAGAAAGAAGAGGTTTTAAGGGCCCCCCACCAGCTGGGAACAATGATTTTGAAGTCAGAGTTATGAACCTCGTGGCTGGAGTGGGCAGAGCCCTGCAGGGGCTGCTGGCCCACACATGGATCAGCAAGTACTGCTCCTCTGAGACCTTCTCTTCTGCAGCCTCCCCTTTTTTGTTTTCTTGTGGGGGCAGAAGGTGGGAAAGCCAGCACAACAAATGGACAGGCAGACGTACATCTTGTTCAGAATGTTCTTAATTTTAATGCATTTTCTTTAATTTTTATAAAATACATCCTGTAAGATAAGTCTTTAAAAACTTGCTCCTTTTTATTGCTGGTTAACAAGTTGAAATTCTAGATCAGAAATGAAGGAAACACTTTCAGTTGATTAACTCTTTTTGCGTGTGTATGTGTGTGTGTATGTGTGTGTGCGTGTGTGGGGTCTGGGGACAAGGGTGGGAAGGAGGACCTGGTTATTTTTTGTTAAATGGATATGAAAAAAAACCCCAGCAACCCCCCCAAGAGAGATAGCATTGATGTGAATTTCCAGATCTTGACTGGTTTCTCCCCACCCTGGCACCCCTGCTGGATCTCCCCCCTCCCCATCCCGTGTGCGTTGGTAGCCTGGCCAACCTATTTCAGCATTCCTGGCAGCAAGGATCCTTCAAATGCACTGCTCAGCAGATCTGCCTCCTTATCCTTGCCCCTGCTGAAACCAGCACTTAAAAATATATATAACAACAATACAGACATGGAAAAAATAAAATAAATCCATGCAAGATGGAGCTTCAGTCTGCCACTGAAATTAGTTTCTCCAATAAATAAACACAAAGATTAGCACTAAGGAGAGAGGCAGGGAGAGCAAAACAAATCACCAGTTGTCAGGGAGGACAGGAAACAGCACTTCTGCAGGTCTGGCTGGATCCATGCTACCCAGCCAGAGGAGAACAGTCACGGAGGAGAGGTCTCCACCCAACCCCTTGCCCCCTACCCCTCTCCATGGGAAAAGACTGGCACCAGTAAGGATCTGGATTGCAGAGACGGGCTGTGTTTGCACCCTGTGACCCCCACTCCGCCACCTTTCCTTCCCTCCTCAATTCCTTCATGGGTTTCACCTGGAAGCGAGATGCTGCCGATCCCTCCCACCCTGGCAGGCACAAGGCAGCTGTCCTGACTTGCAGGAAGAAAAGTGAGGGGACGAGGGGGACAGAAGGACGGGTGGTTACACTTGACAAGGGGGAGAAGCGAGCCGAGCTCTGCGGCCCAGTGGAGGTTAGAGAAGCAGACATCACCCCAGAGAAGAGCACCATTGTGAAGGGCACTGGCAGGGCAGGCAAGGCACGCGGTCCCGAGGGTTATCCCCTGCCTACGGAGGGATGGCTCTGGCTTTACGCTCCCAGGGCTTGTGCAGAGGTGTCCCTTCCTCAGTCAAACCTATTTGCTGCCTCTCTGCTGCCTGGAGACTAAAGCCAAGAGTCCCCCTTGCCTACAGAGACACCAAACTCCTTTAGGCTTTAATAGGAGCAGCTGGGTTAGGGCTTTATCGGCATTAGGATCAGCACTCTCTTCTCCACACTGGGAAGATCCTTGCCCTGAACTCCCTTTGCCGTGGCTGCAGCAGGCGATTTAGGTTAAATTCATCTTTCTCTGCTAAGGGAAAAAAATCCTTCTCTTATTCTCCATCCATGGGTGGTGACAGCAGACAGCTCCAGGAGAGTCGTTAGCAATGGTACCACGACTGGGCCAACTTCCTTTTCTCTCTAGGTAGCCTCTTGCTACTCACGGAGCAACCTACGTGGATTTCTTCCTCCCAGGAGCTTGAAGGGCTTTGCTCATCCCTAGGCAACACTGGGACATTGGAGAAAGTCCCTCCTCTTCTCTGGCTGGTTTTGATGGGCTTGGCTCTGGAGCGAGCCGGTTACGGATGAGCAACGAGAGAAAAGTGCATGAAGAGGCGTCCATCGGTGGGAAGCTCTCCTTCCTGGTCACGCTCAGCACAATGGATGCGAGGGAGGAAGAGGAGGGGAGTCATCAGCGAAGGCAGAGTTAACGCAGGAGACCTGGTGTCAGGTGGCTGCAGTGTTAAAGCCTCGGGGTTAGACAAAAGGAGGGCGTTTGGTCTGGCTGGGCTCCGCCTCGCGGGCTAGAACTTGGTGCCTCGGCCCATCAGCCTGAGGACTGCGAAGTTGTAGGTGGCTGCGATGATGAAGGTGACCTGTGGGTGGGAGGAGAGTGAGCGAGGGGGCAGCCCCAGCCCCACAGCCCCACAGAGCAGTGCCCTGCAGAGTCCTGCAGCCCCACAGCACCATCGGGACACTGCAGTGTGTCCGGGGAAAGGCGGGGCACTCCATGCACTGGGACCTCTCCCTGTCAGTCTGCTAAAGCCTCTCCAGATCCCCTCCTGCAGCCACCTCTGCCTCATGGCCTGGACTCACCATCTGCACTTACGTGCCAGAAAACGACACGAGCACAGGCTCTGTCCCATCCGTGCCCACCGCCTTCGCTGTCCTTTTCCCCCACATCCTTGCCAGGCGGAGAAGCACGGCTGGGCAGGGGGAGCACTGACTCACCAGTGAGACCAGCGTGGCAGCTGCCCCCACGAAGGCTGCGATGAAGAGGTGGAAAGTCATCTGGAACTGCAAGGGAACAGGAGGGTGAGCTCACGGGGTCCCGTGTGCTGCCTGGGGAGGCAGAGCCAAGGTGTCCCCCGAGGGGAGCACACACGAGGTGGCAGGAGTTACTCACCTCGCTGGTCTTGCAGATGGAGAGCAGGTTGGAGCCACACACCTTGCCAGGGAAAGCATTCCAGGGCAGGACACCTGTGGAGATGTGGGAGCCAGGTGAGCGAGATGAGGCTGACAGCTAACTCCCTTGCCCAGCTTCCTGCAGCCCCCTGTCACACACCCCCCAGCATTTCGGGGCTCTTCAGCACCTGCTCTGCTTTACCCCACCCATCGTGCCTGGGCCCTGCCCTCCGTCCCCTCTCCTCCTGGCTGGTGAAACCAGCACTCACCGTACATCCTGGCATCCGCACACAGGGTGCCAATGCTGGCCGAGGTCTTGGTGGGGTTGCCAATGGACTGGCAGGTGGTCCAGGTGTTAAAATAGATGTAGACAGGCACGGCAGAGCAGGCGAACACCAGGAGCCAGATGATGGTCAGGACGTAGGTAATGCCCACAAACTGCAGGGGGCAGGACAAAGCCGGGCACAGCCGCGGTTAGCGATGGCCCAGGCCACGGACAGGGGAGCGCGAGGGTCCCCAGGCAGGGCAGGGCGTGGGGCAGGTGGGGACTGCGATGCTCAGAGCCAGCGTGGCCCCAGGCAGGCAGCACAGGGCAGCAGCCCAGGCTGGGGCTCCTGCAGCTCACAGGAGCAGGGCCAGTCCCAGATCCATGCCCGGCTGGGTGTGCATGTGGGGAACCGGCAGCAGCAGGAATGCTGCCACCTTTGGAGAGGGGGGTAAACCGTGGCCAGACCAAGCAGGGTTTGATCTCTGAGGGAGGGCAGCTGCAAAAGCTGCCTTGGCGTGTCAGCGTGGCTCTCCTGCCCTCCCTCCATGGTGCCACCCCCACCAGCCCCCGAGGGAACCACAGCCGTGCCCCTCTGCTCCCCTTTGCCAGCACTCTTGTCACGGTTCCCAAGCACAGCAGAGTGGAGGACCCCGGGGGTACCGGGTGCCACAGAGCTTTGAGCTGCCAGCACTGCAGGGATGCTCAGATTCTCCCAGCCTATGTTTAAACATGAAGCACTTTTATTAAACATAACCATTTGTGCTACTTTTTGTCCCCAGGGAACACGGCAGGCCTGGGTGAGGACAGCAGGGCTGTGCTTCCCTTTGGGATATCCCAAAACCCTGAGGGGCTCATTCTCCTGCCCTTTGGCCGCGTGGAGCGTGGTGAACCCGCTGGGGCGCGCGAAGGGGTGCCAAACCCCGGTTAAGATCACCTTGTCAGGATGTCCTAGCCACTTTCCCAAACAATGACACACCCGCTGCCACGAGTGAGCTCGCTGGGGGCCTCGCGCTCCCCTCCCTTTCGGGCCCCCAGTTACCGTAGCGCTGAGGCCCTTGCCGCAGATGGTGGTCCTGTAGTCCCCAAAGATTTGCCGGACGGCGCCGGTGGTGTAGAAGCCTTCGGCCAGCAGCAGGGCTCCATAGAGGAAGAAGAAGGCAGCTGTGCCGTAGATGAAGTACTGAAAGCCGTGGATGCTGCGGGGGAGAGGAGTGGGCAGGGGGGCTCAGGTGCCAGGGCTCAGCCCTGGCTGCTGCTGCTTCCCCTCCCCACGCTGCCCCACGGGGACCAAAACAGAGGGTGAAGCCACAGGAAGAGCAAGCTGGGGCAAAGCTGTGGGGAGCAATCCTCCATATCCTCCAATTCTCCCCCCACATCCTCCATACCTACCCCGTGCAGAGGTCCAGCTCTACCCAGGACACCTAACAAGGGCCAGATGAAAACTGGTGTGAAATAAAACAAGTGGCCCCTTGGACCCTGCCAAAGGCAGCTTGGGGTCTCTCTGGTGCCCAGTGAGAGCCTGGCCCTGGCCAGCCCAGCCAGACACCTCAGCCTGGCACAGAGCAGGACAAAGCTGTGAGGTGGGTGCTCTGCAGCAGGGTACTTACACATCGAGGAGGAACTCATAGTCCTGGTAGTTTTTGGAGAAGTAGGTCTCGATGAGCTGCTCGGTGCCTGTGAGGGCCTCGTGCCCACAGCCACAAAACAGGGCTACCCCAAAGAAGCACAGGCCAGTGGCAACCAGGGAAGCAAAGGGTGCCCCAATGAGACATCTGGCACAGCACTCGAGTAAACCTGTGGAGAAAAGGGGAGAGGTGGGACGGGACTGCTGGGACAAGGATTGCTTGGAGCCTGCAGCTCAGGAGTGCAGTGGGAGAAAGGTGCCTGCCAGGAGGAGGAAAACAGGTGGAAGGAAAACCTCAGAAATGACCCATTGCAGTGCTGTAGAGCCAAACCCAGCAGCTCCCCTGAGAGCTCTCCCAGCAGCTCAGGAGCCCACCCAAGGGTGCCCAGGGATGGTGGCAGTGTGGGGCACAGGGGCTGTGAGGAGCCAGCCATGCTGACCCGTGACAAACAGATGGAAATAGAGCGTGATGTAGCGTAATGCCAGTGGGACCTGGCAAACAAGCTGCTAATGGGCTCCCCACTGCCACCACAGCAGCACCACAGCTGCCTGCAGCTCTAATTTGCCATTAAATGTAGAGGGGAACCAGCACCTGCACAGAATCAAACCCCAGGGCAGATCCAGCAAGGTGGCCCTGCTTGGGGCAGCACAGCAGGAGCCAGCACACACCCTGACCACTCTGGACATTCAGGTGGCACCGTGGGCACTTGTCCCTTGCCGGGCACCCTGCAGGCAGCTCGGGCTGCAGCCGCCCCTTTATGCAGGCAGGCGTGCTTGTAGGAAAGAGCCGTGCCAGTTCCACAAATGACAACACTTGTGTAATAGGTTTAGTCCTCCAGGAGCTGCAGGGAAAGCAAGGACACACAGCAGTGTGCTGCTTGGAGTGCCTAAATGCTGGGTTTTTTCAGCAGTGAGGCCATGGGCACCTGCTCCTCCTGCACGTCAGGGGTCTGACCTGTAGGAGTGTTGGCTCAGTGTCCCTGTGGGCTGGGTTTGGAGGTGCCCAGCCAGTTTCTAACATGGGCTCAGTTTCCCTGTGGGCTGGCTTTGGAGGTGCCCAGCCAGCTGCTGTCCTGCCTGCTTTGGGGGCAGACAGCCAGGTGGGTTTGCACACACCAGCATCTGGCTCCAGCTAAGCTGCTGCCCTGGCTGTGTGACACCTGGGGAAGCTGCTCCCCTTCCCCAGGACATGGGCTCCAGCATCCCACTGCCCAGGGCACAGTGGCTCCCATCTGGGCACAGAATTCCTGCCTTGAATGCCAAGAAGGCACCCACACCAAGCCCACGCTCCCTCCACAAACCCCACAGTGCTTATCCCCTCCCCAAGAGGACAAGAAAGCCGTGGGGCCCTGGCCAGCCCTGCCCTCCCCGCTGGGAGCAAGGTTGCGCAGTGGCACCGAGGACAATGGGGGATTGTCCTGGCACTGCCACCCCAGTGGCTGCCCCACGCCAAGAGCAAACAGGGAACAAAGGCAGCGCTATAGGGGAGTGCTGGGACCCCTCCCTCTTGTTTGCCTTGGACACAGCACATCCAGGGGGGGCCTCCTTCATCCTGGGAGTGCTGCTCCCAACCTCGCTGGGACCCAGGGTCTGGCCCCTTGCTGGGCCAAACTTTCCTTTCCTGGTTTGATCTTTGGCCACCTGGGAGATGGCACAGAGGTGCCAGCTCTGAGGCAGTGAGCAGCTCCATTCCCAGGGGACTGAGAGCCCTGGGATGCTACAGGGCCCTGGCACAGCCCCTCTGCAGGGGGAAAGCCTGGGGAGGGAAAGGAGGGGAGAAAGAGCCCTTGTACCACACAATCCTGAGCCTTGTGCCACACAATCCTGAGCCTTGTGCCCAGGCTCCGCTGCTGCCAGCGCCAAACAACGTGCTGCAGACAGGAGGAGGAGCAGGGGGCCAGCAGAACAAGGCACCCCTGGGAACAGAGCAGCCCTAAAACCCCAGGGCTACCCCGGTGAGTGTTAGCTCTGCTCTATCAGTGGGGAAACTGAGGCACCAGGTGTGGCTCTGTTTTCCCAAGTGGCACGAGCTGTGATGGGCTCAGTGCCCTGCCTGGACCTCACAGCTCCTGCCAGCCCCAGGATGGAGCTCTCATGGGGTGAGGGCTGGGGTGGGACAGGCTGTGGGGATGGCATCTGCCCCCTCAGACAGCACAGGAGCACATGGGGACAGAAAACTGCCTTGGGAAAGAAAATATCATCCCTGCCACGCCAAGGCATCCTGCCACAGCTGGCATGGGCACACCGGGGTCACCAGGACCTCACTGGTGCCAGAGGAAGGTTTCAGTGGGCTCTGCTGTGGGATCAACTCCCCAGAGACACCCAGGTGTCACCCAGGTCCCCTCATACTCACCCATGGTGCTGGTCCTGCTCAGCTCCCCGAGCGCCGCTCTGGCTCTGCTGCTTGGCTGCTGCCCGCTGGTCCCACGCCCTGGGTCCCCCCTCTGGGTGCCTGTCCCGCTCTCCAGCAAAGAAAAGGGCTCTGTGAGTGACAGCCACCCCCCTTAAAGACACGGGCCCGCCCTGCCCGCCCCCCAGCACCCCTTGGCTGCCAGCTCCCGGGTGATGCCAAGGGCCCTGCGCAGTGCTCTGAGGGGAAAAGGCTTTGCAAAAGGGACACAGCACTCTGGGGTATGGGGAGGGGGTGCTCCCCCCTCATTGGTGGCTCTGGGGACATCCCCCAGCCCTACCAGGCTGTGCTGGTGCAAGCTGGTGTGGGAGTGTTGCCCTGTGGGACCGCAGTGGTGTGCCCCTGTCACCTCCCTGATCCCAGCATCTGGAAGCAGGGAAGAGGTGTTCCCACCCCAGGAACCTGCTTTCAGCTTTGGGGGCTCCAAACTGGAAGTTTTCCCCCTTTTGATGGGAATCTTGTAGCTACTTTGCCCGGCCCCGTGCCCCCATGGGGCAGCGGCATTGTGATGGGGACACCCGTGGCTCCCCATGGCCCCAAGGCTGTGGCAGGGCCAGCCTGGTCCCTTGGGTGCCCCAGTCCCGTGGGTGCCACGGTTCCCATGTCCCCTGCAGCTGTGCAGGCAGCAGAGGGCCCCGGGAGCCTGCAGAGGGCAACTGGGCCCTTCCCAGCAGGCACAAAGGGGGACAAAGCCCTGCTGTGTCCCTCAATGCCCCTCTGTGTGCCAGGCAGTGCCCAGGGCCTGCCTGTCCCCAGCCTCGGGGACACTGCTGGGCTGTGGCACGCTGGGACCAGGCTGGGCCACCCTCTGGGGACTCTGCCCCTTCCCACCAAGCCAAAAAGGCACCCCTGGCTTGCCACAGGGAGCTGGGGGGAACACCACTTGGGCCAGGGTGTTGTGATGCACCCCACATCAGTGGGGCACAGCTCCTGGCCCCACAGACCCCTCCCTGCCTCAGTTTCCCACTGCAGAGGGGCTGCCTGGTGTCCTCAGACAGATGTGGAATGGGAGGGACAACAGAGAAGGGGGAGCCTCTGTCACAACTGTGGCAACACCAGGTGGCCTGGCAGCGATGTCACCTGGCCATGATGGCCTTGAAATGGCCATGGGAAGGTGACAGATTCATAACACCCCTTTGGAAATAGCCAGAACCCCTCCAGCCACTGGAAACCAGCAGAGCCCTGCCTGCATCCCAGGGAAGACCAGAGGGACCCCCAGCCACCAGGAGGGAAAAGTGTTACATAAAAAGTCCCCCATAAATAAAACATATAAAATGCAACATGACAGGAAAAGAATAAAATATGACATAGGGCAGAAACATACCTGCCCCTCTTTTTGTTTCCACAGAAATTCCAGGTTTGCTGACTCCCATTTCTGAACACTCAGGAGGGAAGTGGGAATTTTACCTCACTGGGCACAAGGTGAGCAGCTAAGAGGGATTCCTGCAGAAAGTGCTGTAAAATTCTTGGCTATTGGGCATTTTTTGTCAGCAGGTGGATGACAAAATGTGATGGAAACCCCTTGGCCCTGTGATGAGTGGCAGTGGGGATCACCCACCAGCTCCTGGCAGCGCTCCATGGATGCTCCAGAGCAGGACTGCAGGACAGGGAGAAGGGAGAAATCCCCCCTTTGGATTTCTAAGGCTTTCTAAGGGAGAAGAAAATGTGCAGGGAAGTGTTTGGAGCTGCCTTTGCCATGGCAGCGTGGAGGGTGCCCTGCCCCAGGCAGCTGGGTGGGCACCCAGAGCCCACCCCAGGCACTGCCCCTGCCTGCCCTGGGAGCAGAGTCTGGGGGCACGGGGGTGATGGAAAACCCTTTCTGCATCCCTCTCCTTTTGTGGAAAATGCCTGTTTTATGGTTGGCTTTTCACAAATATCCAAATGAATATTATATGTGTTGTGTTAGAAAGTAATGCTGTATTAATTCTCTTGAGTAGTGTGTTAAATATAGTTTTAGGCTATAAAAAATGTTAAAATAGAAACGATGCTATGTAGGATATTTTTTTAAAAAAAGAACTTGCACCAAGATAGCAGCCACAGGACACCTGAATCTTTCAGAGAAAGAGAATTTATTGCTCCATTATCAGAAGAAATGAACTTCTTCCCACTTCGAAGGCACAGTCAGGATTCAGAGGAAGAAGTTGACACTGACCAGACAGAATCCTGTGTTTGAATGAAATTTATGCATCATGTATGAGGTGTATGAATATGCAACAGGCTGTTGCTTTTAAGGGTTAATCCTCTGTTAACGTGGGTCCTTTTTAGGGCTTATTTTGCCCAGAAAGAGGTACCTGAACTGTCCATAGCTCTTTGTTTCTATTATCTCATATTGTCCTAATTCAATTTGTCCAAAGTATTATTACTCTAATTGTATTACTTTTTTTATAACCATTTTATTGCTATTAAACTTATAAAATTTCAAAAACCAAGTGATTGGCATTTTTCACACTTTGCACTCCAGCTGGAGAGTTTGAGAAAGCCTCTGCTGCAAACCCAGCCGTGCAATTCTGCGTGCCCAGAGCAATCCTGCAGCTCAGCCCCTGCTGGGTGAGCCCCCAGGGAGCTGCAGGGAGCCTGCCAGCCCACATCAAAGCTCTCCTGTTGGCTCATCCCTGCCGGAGAAATCACTGATGCTTCCCAGGTGGGGAACACGCCAGGCTGGTAAAAATAAACATGCTTATAAATCAATATGGATCACCTTGCAGTTTGTTCTGACCCTTGGGCAGTGAGCAGTTGCATCCAAACCCCCGGGAAATGAAGGAATTAGGCAGGAGCCCTCACTAACAGAGCCTGGCAGTGCCACATGCCCCTGGTGAGGTGTGTGGGGGGCTGGCAGGGCAGGGCAGGGCTTGGAGGGGGTTTTCCTTCCCCAGCACCCCCAGTCTGCACTGAGGTGCTGCAAAGGCTGCACCAAAGTGAAGGGTTTGGATGGGCACACACACATCCCTAAATACACTCTCAGTGAGGAAAGGATTCCCTGGAATTTTTGTGGGTTTTTCTCCTGACAGCTGCAGCCCAGACTCAGGCTTCCCCTGGGCCCTGGGACTGGGGGGACGAGGAGGGGACATCAGTGGCAAAGGCACAGAAACACAGGCGCTGCTGGCTCATCCACTCCACTGCTTTAGGGCAAAGCAGTGGCATGGAAAAGCAAGGAGGAGCATGTGGGGCAGGGGAGCAGAGCATCCTGCTGTCCCTCTCTGTGTGCAGCCACCATCACCAGAGGCTGTCACTGAGGTGATTGATTGTCACTGTGGTGATTGTCACTGTCACTGTCACTGTCACTGTCACTGTGGTGATTGTCCCTGTCACTGCCACTGTCACTGTCCCATCGCTCTGGTGGCACAGCACAGCCTCCTGCCTGTCCCACCCCCTCCCAGCACACGCTGGGCAGGCAGAGAGCCCTCCCTGGGGTGGGCTCAGCTGGGAGAAGGGGCTTTCCTGCAGTTCCAGGGAGGATTTGTATTCCCTGCTGAATGATTTCTTTGCTTCCAGCCCCACAGGGGCTGCACTCCTCATTTTCTGCACTCCTCGTTTTCTGCACTCCTCATTTTCTGCACTCCCCTGGGCATGGGGCTGGGCTTTCAAAGATGCACAGTGGCCAAAATCAGTATGTGCTGACCCTGCAGCCCCTGCAGTGTGCTCCCCACAGTGCAGGCACAGCCCTGGGTACCCCAAGAGGAAGCAGCAGCGGCACGTGCAGTGCCTTTATCCATTATACATCTGTCAGCAGGAGAAACCCCAGCCCATCGTGTCACAGCTCAGAGCCTTGCTGCTATTTTTAGCCACTCTCTTTCCCGGTCAGGATGAATTTCTTGTCATCTGCTGCTGATTTTAGCTCTGCTTTTCTCTCACCTTCCTGCCCCACCTCACCCACTGTAGTGGTGTTCATAGGGGTCCCAGGATGAGGGAAGAGATGAGGATCTGACTCCATGGTTCAGAAGGCTGGTTTATTATTTTATTATATATATTATATTAAAAGAAAATTATATATTAAAACTATACTAAACAATAGAAGAAAGGATTTAATCAGAAGTCTTGAAAGGAATAGAAAAGAATGATAATAAAATCTTGTGAGTGACCAGAGAGTCAGAGCCAGCTGACTGTGATTGGTCATTAATTAGAAACAACCACATGAGACCAATCCCAGATGCACCTGTTGCATTCCACAGCAGCAGATAACCATTGTTTACATTTTGTTCCTGAGGCTTCTCAGCTTCTCAGGGAGGAAAAATCCTAAGGAAAGGATTTTTCAAAAGAGATGTCTGTGACAAGCTTATAGGACCTGGCTCAAGGAGATCATTATCTCAAGGTGTCCCCGACAGAACCAGGAGGTGACAGTGCCATGGGCAGGCTGTGCTGGCTGCAGCAGTGTCTGTCTGTCCGTCCGTCTGTCTGTCCGTCCGTCTGTCCACCCCTGCCGGGATGCCGAGGGCTCTCCCGGAGCCAGCCCCGCTCACTCTGCCCGCCCTGGCTGTCCTCACCGTCCTGTCGGTGTTCCCGGCGCGCTGCAAAATGTGCTAATAAAAATTACATTTAAAAAGGAAGGAAGGAGCTGCTAGAGGCTGTCAGAGGACAGGGGAGGAGTGCTGAAGGACAGACAGACAGGGCAGTGCTGCAGGATGACAGGGAAAGGGAAAGGGAAAGGGAAAGGGAAAGGGAAAGGGAAAGGGAAAGGGAGAGGCCAAAACCCTTGTGAGGCTCAGCAAGGGCTGGGCACAGGGTGGGGTCCTGCCCCCTGAGCCCCCCAGGGATGCTCTGGGGCTCTCCCAGAGCAGGCAGGGTTGAGGCAGTGCAACAAAGCCCTGCTGGATAACCCAGGTACAAAGCTCTCCCAGCTGGCACCAGCCCTCAGCCCTGCCTGTCCTGGCTTTCCTGGGAGCACAGGGGCACCAGGAGGTGCTGGCCAGCAGGGATGGCACCGAGATGAGCTCACCTCCCACGCAGTCACCCTCCAGAGAAGCTGAGCAGATGTCTGCCCTTCTGTTTGGTGTCTCTGGCTGATGTTCCCTCTGCAGGAGCCTGACTTTTCAAACCTACCCAGTTTTTAAGTTTGGGAGAGCTTGTCCAGCCTGTGCTCCGTGTCTGGCTCACTGCTGGGGGCAGCAGGGACCAGGGTAGGGTGGCTGCCATCCCAGAGGTGACACTGCAGGAGCCTCCCTGCTGTCCCACACCTTCCCAGGCTGTGTCACCCAGGTGAGTGTGAGCGTGTTTGCACTCCCATCCAGTGAGCAGGGGTCCCAGGATGAGGGAGGAGATGAGGATCTGACTCCATGTTTCAGAAGGCTGATTTATTATTTTATGATATATATTACATTGAAACTATACTAAAAAAATAGAAGGAAGGGTTTCATCAGAAGGCTGGCTAAGAATAGAAAAAGAAGGAATGATAACAAAGGTTTGTGGCTTGGACAGAGTCCAAGCCAGCTCACTGTGATTGGCCATTAATTAGAAACAACCACATGAGACCAATCACAGATGCACCTGTTGCATTCCACAGCAGCAGATAACCATTGTTTACATTTTGTTCCTGAGGCCTCTCAGCTTCTCAGGAGGAAGAATCCTAAGGAAAGGATTTTCCATAGAAGATGTCTGTGATGGGTGTGTGCAGTTTCAGGCTGTGTTTGTACCTGGGGGATCAGCTGCAGAGCCCAGGGCACACCCAGCAGTGCCAGCAGTGCCAGGTGCAGTGCCCTCACCAGGGCCAGGCACTGGAACCCTTCCTGGCTGCTCACTGCTCCTTTTATCCACCAAACAGCTCTGTTATTTACTGCAGAAACTGGGGATAATACAGTGGTGCAAACAACTCTCTTAGTCAGGTTTCTAATTTCAAAAGAAACTCCCACAAAGCCCCTCACTCGGTGCAGTGAGTCCCTCAGATTAATTACAGGTTGGTGGAGAAGGTGATTTCTTTTCCCCTGGCTCCTTTTCCAGCAGATTTGCCTTTCACATCCACTGCCTTTCTCCTTGATTTTCTCCCTACTGGAGGGTAAACAGATGCCTCACTCTGATCTTTTCCAGGCTGTTCATTACTCTCTCACTCTGCCTTTCGTGGGGTCACATTCTTGAACTGTTCTCATTTACTTTTCAGAAAATCCTGGAAGGGAAAGACAAATGCCATCCTGCCTCCCTGGCAGGAGGGGGTGGGAGATGAGAACAGCAAACAGAGCCCAGGATTGCTCTGTCCCTGTGGAGCTGCACTGGGCTCTGTAGAGGGAGGAGCAGCAATGCCAGCACCAGCCTCAGCTCTGGGCTGTCCCCATTTATTTCTTGCTGCCCATTTGAAAAGGCTCAGGTGAATTCATGTGCTCCCAAATGTCAGGACCCAGGACATCCCTCTGGCTATCCAGGATGGCCAGGACCCCATCTCCACCAAAGAGGCCAAGCTGGGCATGGAGGGGAGTGGCAGGGGCACAGGACAGGGGGAAGAGGGCACAGGGCCTGCTTATTCTTTCTTATTCTTTCTTATTCTTTCTTATTCTTTCTTATTCTTTCTTATTCTTCCTTATTCTTCCTTATCCTTCCTTATTCTTCCTTAGTTTCTTATTCCTTCTTATTCTTTCTTATTCTTCCTTATCCTTTCTTATTCTTCCTTATCCTTTCTTATTCTTCCTTATTCTTTCTTATTCTCTTATTCTTCCTTATTCTTCCTTATTCTTTCTCTCCTGCACTTGCCACCTGATGTGAAATGTTCCATTTTCCAAACTTGTCCCTCCTGGGGGTCTCTGGTTGAAGGCAGAACCCAAACCAGTCCCACTCAGCGAGCTGGGGCAGGCAGCCTGCAGGGAATGGCACACAGCACAGCCCCAGGCTCTGTTCCTAGTGATCTCCTGGTGATCTCCTGGTGATCTCCTGCTTGGAGATTGCAGGGACTGAGGGCAGGGGAGCTGTGGAAGGCAGAACAGTGAGCAGAGCTCATCAAACACCAGCACTGCT